TTGTAAATTAAATTGTAAATTAAATGTTTGCTCCAACATTTCTTAGAGCAAGTTTCTCTTTTGTAGTGAACATCCTCCCTTTTCTTGACCATCATGAAGAATAACTTTTTTTAACTAATGCCAAACTTTTGATACCTTCTTCCTTTTTTTTCCTCTACTGCATTTTCATTTTTATTTTCATTTTCTTCATCTTGCTGTTCAACATCTAGGTTTCCAGAATTCTCTCCATCATCATCATTTTCATTGTCATTAATATAATTAAAAATCTTATTTTCAATCAAAACTTTATCATGATTAATAGAGTTTTGTTGCGGATCAATGTAAGATTGAAGTTGATCATCAAGATTTGCATTCTCAGTGATTGTCGGCTCACTAACAACATCTTTAATGTCTCTTTTTGTTGACATACTAAAGAAGCATACAAAAAAAAAACTTAACTTTGTTGCCTTCAAGATGAACAAATAACACATCATGAATAAAATATTTCAATTCTTTCAACACATACACAAATTTTTATAGTGTAGCCATCAAAAAAAGGAAAAAAAAAACATCAAAGAATATTAAGGGAAAAATTTTGAATGAAGGGCTTTTATCAAGAGAAAAATGTCTTACAACCAAATTACAAAATCGATCACCTCAAGCCATTTGGTTGTCGTCCATCTCTCCTCTAGCATCTGAGGCACGATCACCTCCGGCTGAGGCGTCAGGTCGTTGTCCGAGGCCAGACATGGTTGAATCTTTCTTTTCCGGCATCTCAGGAGAATGGTGTATAGCATCCCAAGTAAATGATGACTTTAGGATTTAGAATGCCCCTTGCCTTGTGAATCGCAACTCTCTCTCTCCTTGCAACCCTGAAAAAAAATTGTGGGTATGAGACAAGAAAATATTAGTATTGATATAGTTAATACAATTAGTTTATTTTATTATTATTGTTATTTTTATATTAAAATTTAAATGAATTTAAAGTAAATCATGTGGCTTGACTAGCTTTCAAGCTGAGTGGGTCTAATTGTCTAGCTTGAACTTATGGCTTGATAAATTTGACTCGTGAGCTCGTTAGCAAGTTGATTTCGAGCTTACTTAGGAGCTAACACAGCTCACTTACACCTCGTATTACATCTGCTTGTAATTAGGGCAGTGTGTTTCAATCCAAGAATGAATTTTGATTGAAAAGGTAGGGACATTTGTTAAATGGACGATTGAGATTAGGACCTTTGTAAAAGGAGTATCTCATTCCTTTTGCAAAATTTACATCCTTGCAAATATTTGTTGGATTTTATGGTGATATAAGTGTGTTTTACATTAATATTTACAAATGAGTGAGATTAAGCTTTAAATTTCAATGAATGAGATTATTGTGGACAAGTTCCAAGCTGCATTTTATGGTAGTGGAAGATATGACTACCGATTTTACCTTATATATATATTTTTACAATCAATTATTTATCTCCTCCTAACCCCTGTCCCTTCCCTCCCAAAAAAGGAAGAAAAGAAAATAACCTTCTTTATCTTTCTTGTTTTGTTTCTTACCTTTATGTTGATATGCTTTTAGTATTTTTTTGTTCTACTGTAAAGTTTAGTGTAGAAAGATAGAAATGTTATTTCGAAACATATTCAATAAAGGCCTGTTTTTAGTGGGGCTTAATCAAGTCAAGATAAGTTAGGCCAGCTGATGGAAGGCTTAAATCTTAATCGGGTTTAAGTCATTTGGTTGGTGAAAAAGACAAGCTGTTGTTAACTGAGAAAATTGTTTGGTTTCATTTGGCTTAAGCTCATTTTCTTAGCTCATCATGGTATTCTAATATTACATTAATATAATTGGTTTGTCATTTTGATAACTTAATTATGATCATAAATTTTATGATGTTTAAATTTATTTTAATGAATATTCAAATTACTTTAATTTAAATTCACTTAATTATGATATGATAAGCTTGTCTAAAGATAGTCTTAATTACTTTGGAAAATAAAAAAAAAGGTTATGACAAATATAAAATGAAAGGATAATCTAATGAAAATATAAGGATAATTATGATAATAAAATTGATATTGATTAACTTATTTTTAATGAAATTAAAAATTTCTTAATTATGATGGGAAAAACTTCTTAAGCAGTTAAGCTTGAGCTCGATATCCACATATTTTAACTTTTAGTCCAATTATGCTATAAGCTGAGATAAAAGACTAAAATTTCATTGCTCAAGAGATTTCAAAATAGACCATCTAGTTGGACTTGGACACTTGTGCTTGACTTGAGCTCCAAATGAAGAACCTCAAAGAAATTACAGAAGATATCTTTTTGGAAGAACATAATTTATAAGGTGAGGTATACATTAGATTGATAAAAAATAAATGAAGCGGAGTTAGAACTGTGCACACTGCATAAAGGTAAACATTTGGGTTCGAATGAGATACTAGGTGCTATTGTTGTATTTTGGCTGACGGTTTTTTATGAATAAGGGAAGGCCAGCTGGTTGAAGAACTGCTCCCCCCCCCCCTCTTTATATATGTAGCACTAATGTTACTTCCAGGACCAGAACAAATTGTACCACTAGGAAGAGCATGCTACTGTTGAAATTCTATTGAAGAATAGGGAAGGCTTATTATTTTATTGGACCAACAAATTTTTTTATCTTAATCTTGTGTTGAATTAATGTTAGTAGACCATTTTCAGTTGGAGAATCAATTTTTTTTGCTGTTTGTTCTTTTTATCAAAGTTGTTGCATAGTCATCCAATGTTTGTAATGGCCTCCAACCTGGATAACTTAGTTTTGGACCCATTTTTGAATTTTTTAGCTTCCTAATAATTTGTGTAAATTGAATCAAATATGAGTTCCGTTTCTTCCTACTTGTATTAATATTAATACATTCTAATGACCATGGGAGAGCATTGAGCATTACAAGTGCTAGAGTTTGAGGAGAGAAATTTCATAACCTATTGGTGACAGCATTGGCTCATTGATTAATTAATTGATTATATGTTGTTGATATGCTATTATTTTTTTTATTGGCATTGTAAGAATTTTGTGTTTTACTTGTGTGGTGACGTATAAGATGTTTAAGTCTATTTAAAAAATTTTAGATAAATATTGCTTGGGAGATGTGATGATGGAATGGTATTGAGATCAGATCTTAAGGTAAAATTGAGTTGTAAAGTGTTTTGAAGAGCTTGGATTATAATGTTATTCAACCGGTCATTATGAACATCTCAGAGAATATTTTGATTGGTTAGTCATTACGCCAAGATGTGTTGCTTATTTGCGACTTTTATATAATTGGTGCCTGATTTTTAGTAACAATCGTTATGACATGATTGATCTGATTTCTTTGAATGATGGTTAGTAGAGAAATTTGATGAAGAGCTTGATGAACAATGAATTAATGTTTGACGAAGAAGAGTCTATGTGGAGTACTGTTGCAAGAGCTAGAGGCGTCTATCAAAGAAATTATAACATTCAAGGTAAAAGTAAAAAAAAAAGGATCTTTATCTAGGTCCATCATAGTAGCATTTGGAAATGAAAATGATGAATGTGATGAAGATTTTGAATTGGGCGATTATATTGTTGAAGTAGATTGTGGTTATTTTAGCTTATTCTGATGATGATGATTCTTCTTAGGATGATTAGTTTTGTTTTTGAATTTGAAAATGTAATTCATATACTAATTGTTTCCTAGTTTTGAGACTCTCCAAAGCTTAGTTTTTTGTTCTAATATTATGCATTGTGACAAACATTGTTGTTTTAGTTACAACTTTAATTGCTTTCTTTGCCATGTAGTTTATTTTTTAAGCTGATTGTCTTCCATTAACTTTTATGTATGTCAAAATAATTATACTAAATTTATGCGATATTGATTGTTTTCTTTTACGTCAAGATATTTTTCTCTCTCATTCTTGAATTATTTGTGATTCTTTTATCACACTAATTTTAAAGTATGGGGCATCACTCTAGACCACTACAGTTGTTTTCTGTCATGATGGTTTATTTTCAAATTTTATTGCCCTTAGCCTTAGGGGTCATTTGGTTGGTTGAAAAAGGAATGCAGAGTAAAGTGGAATGCAATGTGTTTGAAATGTTTGGATAAGTGTAAAATAAATGCAAGTGATTTTTTTTTTCACTTTTGGCTTGAAGTAAAATGAATGCAGTGTAAAGCCAAGAGATGATGGTGGTTGGCGGCGATGACAACTGGCGGTGGTGGGCAATGATGGTTGGCGGTGCTGGGGGGAAATGATAAAGAATTTATGATGTATTTGAAACTTGCCCAAATCTAATAATTTTCAAATACATCAAAATTCATTAGAGGGTGCATTCTGAATATACAAATTCTACTATGCATTTCTTTTACTTTAAATCCAACACCATAATTTTCAAAAACTTTGCATTTAGAATACGTTACAACCCTTTTACTTCAAACTAGATATATCCCTTCAACGCATATTAGAACAATAATATGTTTCATTAATATGCACCTGATTGTGCTTTTTTACTTTTACGATATTTTTCTCATTTATTGTTGAATTATTAATAAATGTATCATGAGTTTTTTTATGATTTGCGCTACTTTTTAAATAATTTGCACCATCTTATGTTCCGTGTGTTATGACTTTGGTAGAATTTTGGGCTATAGTGTGCTATTCGTGATCGGCAATGATGGATGCATTTATTTGTTTTAGTGCAAGTGTAAGCGTGCATACTTGAGTTTGTGTGGGGTTAGGGGTATGTGAGTGGAACTGTTTTTGTTTGTTTGAAGATGGTGCTCTGTAGTTCGATTTAAAGGGCAATTGAGTTCATTGTTGGATTTAAAAGTGAACAAGATCATGTTTGAGGATTTGTAAATTTAAAACTTAATTTTGAAATTCATCAAAATTCCTGTAAAGCTTGGTTGATTTTTCATTTATGGCTTCTTTCTTCTGCATCTCTTCCCCTTCATGCATATATTTTTGTCATTGAAATTTTTATCATACACTCTGGTCTCATTATTTTTGTTTTTTTCCCTGGCAGATTTTATGATGGAGTTGTTGATTCTTTTGATCGAAGTACAAAGAAGCATAAGGTTAGTTGTCTGCTTCCTTATCTCTTATTTTACCTATTCCTTTCATGTTTCTATTATGTACTTACTAATTTGAGAAAGCTGACTATGCAGATTTTGTATAATGATGGTGATGTAGAGATTTTGCTCCTGAAGAAAGAGAAATGGGAGTTCATTGAAGCTGAAACCAAGACTGGTGGGGTGAGTTAGCTGCAGCTTGTCTGTTATGTTTGTTCTTTTGTATGCTTACCCTCTTAAAATTCTGTCTGTTGCAGGAAAATAATAACCCAGATATCAATGTTTCAGATGTGTAAGTTCTCTTTTTAAACTTAGTTTCATGGTTGAATTATTTATTTTCTTAATGCTTTGATCTTTTAATGTTTTATTCTTTTTTTTTGTGATCTTATTGTGTGCATTTTTATGAAAGTGAAATATGCATCCCAACTGAAGGAAACACCATTTATGTTATTAATTTCCACTCAAGATAGCTTGATTTTTGAAATTCAAAATTACAAATCTGAAAGAAAGGAGTAGAATATAAGTATGAGAGAAGAATTGAGGAATATTCCATCGTATTTTTTAGCCAAAACATGACTCTATTTATAGAGCTTTACAATGGGTAAGAGAAGGAATAAATAAGCCAGTCCTAAGTGAGAATGGATAGGAAATACGGCAGCAGAATTTGCATTTCTACTAAATCAGCTCTCCAGGTCATCAGTCCATTGGCTATCCAGCGCCAGGATGCCAATCTGAAAGCGAAGGGGATGGCACCATTGCTGCTGCAGTTGTCTTTCCATACTTGACTTTCTGCCAGCTGCAATTACCCTTAGATTTTCACCACTAAGTAGCCTGCCAACGATACCACCAATCCACAGGTCCTAGAGGGTAGAAAATATTGCTTTCCCATTTTAGAAAAGAATTGGCAAGCATCTTTTAACATATCTTTTAGAAATAGTGGTCTCGGGAATCCTTTGATGAAAATTTTAGCAGTTTGATTGAGGGAGGGAAAATATTGAGCATGCAAAACTCCATTTTAAATTTTTTCTTATATTAAGTGCTGATCTATCTCCTCATATTTGGTAAGATCATGATGAGCATCGTTATGAGCTATACTGATAGCAGCTTTATTGTGACAGTATAGTATCATATGCATTTTAATAGTTACCTTAAGATATTCTAACAGTAGTTTAAGCTATATTAATTTGCTGATTCCATTGGCCAATTATCTGCATTATGCTTCTACTGATTGCGACCACATTTTATGTTTTCTTCCCTAAGTTAAAAGATTACTCTACACGTGTAATATCCAAAAGTTTATCTTTTGTTTACTATATATCTAGGCCAGCTAGCATTTTTTTATAGGTTTCTATAATTTTGGATTCTCCTTTCTTAAAGAGAAGTCCCCTTTTAAGGCTTCCTTTTAGGTATTATAGAATCCTGACAATAACATTCATGTGTTCTTCTTAAGGAGCTTGTATGAGTTGACTCACCACTGCTACAAGGCTATTTGAGGTCTAATATGAGGATATGTGCCAAACATGCGTGTTTTCCCAGCAAGCTTTAATATATTCCTTCATCTAGCAGAGAACTAGTGCTAACATCTCTTAAATTAACATCAACTAATTTCTTCTAAGAGATCTAATTTCTTTGAAATATAGTGAGGTAGATTTGTTCGTAGAGATTTTCATTCCAAGGAATACCTGAAATGCTCAACCTTTAATTTTAAATTCTTCTATTAGTTTGTTTTTTCGAGGTACTTATCTCTAAAGCATGATCTTTTGTAGCAATGTTATCATCAACAAATACAGATAGTGTGGTATACTTATCATCCCCCTATGGTTGTAGAACATGCTGTGATTAGAGTAAGCTTTTTTTAACCTTTTTGACCTAAAACTTTCATGAATCTTTCAAACCAAACCAGGGGTGCTTGTTTAATCCTATAAATAGGTATTTTTTATTAAATTTTGCAAACTACATTTGTCATCCATAGATATCAATCTCAAGAGAATGATCCAATATCTTCGTTTGAATCACCATTCAAGAATGCATTCCTAATATCTATAGTTTGTGAAGTGGGCTGTCAAAGTTGTCTTCTATTGACAGGAGTAGAATTGTGTTTAGTTTTATCACAGGAGAAAATATTTTAGAATAGGTAATCCCATAAGTTTAGGTGAATCCTTTTGCAACTGATCGTACTTTCCACTCTCAATGGGCCCATCACATTGAAATTTCACAGTGAAAACTATTTATATCCCACAAGGATGACATTCTTGGGTCATTGACTAATTTCCTATGTTTCATGCTCTTCAAGAGCTTTCAACTATTTAATTGTCATTTTCTTTTCTGGATTATTAGGAGCCTCATTTATTGTCTTTGAAACATCAAGCTCTAACAATTTGGAGACTAAGTTTTTTTCCCGCTAAATGGTTTTATCTTTTCATATTTTTTAGAGGACCTTGAGTACATGTATGTCTTTTTGATAGGCCGGTTCAACTTGAACCGGCCCAGCCGGCCCAAGGCCTCCTTTGAGCTGGCCGCCCACATGGATGGGCCCCACTTGGCTTAGTGATTTCAAATTTGAACGGTGGGGCGGTTTGTGCTTTGGAGGGAGATTGTATTAGTAAAGTTTGGTATTAATGAGGATGAGGGTGGCTAGGGTTAATTTATGCTTGAATATTGTTTTCTCTTGAGTTCTTGGGTGTTTGGCTCTAGATTGCTTTGCCTACAGATTTGTGAGAGAACGACCCTCCTCTCAAATTGAGGATCACTTGTATCATGTTCTCGTGTTTGTTTGGCTTTGATTCTCTTATTGTAATCCATCGTTTTGGGGCTGATTTCGCCCAGATTTTACATTATTCTTGCTGTTTTCACCAATTAGTGATAGGTTTGCTTGCGAACTCAAGTATTTCTCTTAGGGTTACTTGCGAAGTCAAGTATTTCACAAGTAGGAAGAGTTTAAGAGTTTATTGAGTTCAGATAGGCTTCATGACATGCTTTGGGAGATAGAGTGGTTTCATTTCTTTGTAGATTATTCCTTCGAGATTAAACTAGAAGTTTAGAGGGATGCTGAGGGGTTAAGTGAACATGATTTTCAGTTATTTAAGTGTCATCAGTTCTAGGAAGGTTGGTGGTATTAGTAGGTTAGAAAATTTCAGAGAAAAAAATGTTAGAATTTCTTTTCTATTTCCTCTTGAAGGAAATTTTTTTTTAAAGAATACTTTATTCTCAAAGAAGGGGACATCCATGGATACTAATGTATGTGTGTGTCTATAAAAAAAAAAAAATGTATGTGTGTGTCTACATATATATACTTTTATTTTTCCTTCTAAGTGAAATGTCATTTTTTTACCCTTTTGGTTTATTCCATACACAAGAAAGATGCATTTGAAGGTTTTGGGATCAAAGTTTATTTTTATTAGATTCATGATTGTGGATAAAAATAGTACATTCAAAAATCTTAAGGGGATGACGTGAAATAACACATATATTTCGAAAGCATTTAGGAAAATATTTTGATTGGAATTTTGAATCAAAGTGGATTAATAGGAAGATGATTTATGAGGTAGAAGGTGGTGAGGATGGCATCACCACAATAATATTTAGGAGTATTACTAGTGAACATTATGGATCTAGCCACTTTTAATTGGCGGCCCCCACCCCCACCCCCCGCGCGCGTGTATATATATATAATTATTATTATTCTATGCCATTTTTTGAGGTGTGTTTGTGCAAGGATTTTGATGGATAATATCATTGTGATTTAGTTATGTTTCAAGAATTTGGTTAAAATACTCTGAACCTCTATCATAGTGAAGGATTTGTATTTTGTTGAAATATTTGTTTTATTATTGGTATATCATTAAAAAATTATATTAATCCGGGCACAAATCTCGAGGTAAAATCAAGTTGTAACTTCAAAATTTAAATTCAGGGCCATCTGAACTCCGATTTCAATAAACTTATTGTCAAACTAAACGTCTAGAAAGACAAACACAACGACACCAAATTCGACTCAATCCAAGCCCAAACGGGTCCAAATCAAAGACCTGAAGCTCATTTGGAATGTTCAAACCTTAATTTGGATTACCAAACAATTTCTAAATATAACATGCTTATAGTTGAATCGAGCGGCTCGATGAGACGAATACAATGAACCCAATATTTCCAAATTCTGATATCATTAAGATATTTAAATGCTAAATAAACTATCCACGATCAAGGGATTCAACATCGGCCGTCCATTCAAACCACTCTCAAATTTACCTTTGATTTTTCTTCTATTTACCGGTCATGCCATTCTTAGAAATCTATAAATAGATCACTCATTACTCATGAATGGGGGACCCCCAAGCAAGGAAGCATGAAGAGAGATTGGAGATTGCTCTTGCCACCTAGCTCCTCCTCGACCACTGCCCGAGCTTCCGCCGGACCACCGCTACCACTGCCCAACGCCAGACTTCTGTCGGATCACCAACGGACGCCCGAAATTTCGCCAGACCATCGTCCGACACCAAACTTCTGCCCTATCCTAGACTTTCGCTAGTCGTCAAACTTCCACCCTGCCACCATAGGATGGCAGACTTCTGCTCGGCCACTGATTATCATCAAACTTTCTTCCGGCTACCGAATGTCGTAGGACTTTTATCGGACCTCCGTTCGTCTCAAAACTGTCACCGGAATTACGCTTGTCCACCAACTTACTTCGGACTTTTGCCCAGCCATTAACACCGGACTTTCACCCGGCTTCCAAATATTGTTGGACTTCCACCCAACAACATTCCTTCCAACCTATGTCGCCAGACTATGATCTTTCCTATAACAGCCCAAGCTCTTAACTTTTGAGGTATTGTCCGCTTTGGCCTAAGAGCCTAACGGTTTTGTCCTATTGGTGTAATTTCCCAGTAGGTCACCCATGCCAGAATTACTCTGGGATGAGCATGCTTAACTGCGGAGTTTCTTAATAAAGTTCTAACCATTGCACAAAAAAGGCGCCTCGATGTTTAAGAGTTTAACTTCTTTTATTTAAGGAGTTTCACATTTCCAACCTGTCACCCGCTAATTACGATCCATCTGACCTCTGTTGCTCGTAAACAAAGGTCTTTCCGACCTCCGTCACTCGCTGACTACGGTCCTTCCGACCTTCTTCACCGATGACGGTCCTTCTGACAACCGTCGCCAGATAACAGTCTTTTCGACCTCCTTTGCCCGTCGACAATATCTGATGTAGGCAAAGGGGGGGGGGGGGGCGGGGGGGGGGGGGGGGGGGGGGTCAAATCAAAACATAAATTTGGTGGACTTTGGGCTGCTGGT